GTCTTCAGAGCATCAGTATCAATTCCAACATGTCGGCCCCTGCCATCACAGTTTTTAAGGCTAAAGTCACCTGAACGAAATTTGCTGAACCATCGTTGACACGTACGAACGTTCTAAACATTTCCATAAACTTCTTTGATATTCTTTGTGGCAACAGAGGCGTTGTTTTCTTCTTGTGTTCAAATAGAATTACATGCCGAATGTGTGTCTTGTCGTATGCCATCACTATAAGGGATTAGAGTAAATTAAACTTTACACATTTTATAGGCTACACTAACGTGACATTTAGTCGGTTCGTTTAACTATTATACGTGATGTAAGTTTTTTGGAGGGTGGTTAATGAAAGTGTTCCAAAACGCGACATTAATTTCTTGACGACCTAATATATGCCCTGCAGGTAGTAAGCGTCTTCCCAGTAAACCTGTTATAGGATAACTGTAACTATACACTAATACTCTTAAAACGAGTGTCCGATAGAAGATTGACCCTGCGGCTGTGTCTACTCCCTGGGGTGAGGTAAGCCCATTATAATAGATGTCTGTAGAAAGTAGGATAACTTGGGAGTTTGTTCCTTTAATATGTAATTTGAAATATTTGTTGACGTATGTAATGTAAGGATTGTGGGAACCGCATAGGGCCCTGATTTTATATGAAATTGTAGTGTTTCATTGTTCTTGCACCTATGATTTTTCCTTTGTGGTTGTTTACAAGGACTTTTTTTCTAACCTCAGTAACCAGTTACAGTGTTACTGTAAAATAAAAGCCTACCACTAATAAGTTAAGATTTATACAATTATTGTGAATAAAGATTTACTTTATTTATTCACTTGTGTCATTTACCTGCTTTCACTGTTTGTGTTTCGAACGTCACTCTACATAACATTTTCGGAACTTAAGTTTTGCATGTACTTGATTATATTATCTGTCCGACATCAGTGTATCTGAATACCAAATCTACACAGGTCAAAGGTAGCTTACAAATAGATATTTATATATTATTTACCAACTCAGTAGCAAGGTACTAGACAAACGATTTTCATTATGTGCTAGAAAAGTTCAGAGTAAACCTTAAGTAGAAATGAGTTTGAAATAAACTACAGAACATTATCTACAAAAATGGGAATATATTTCTAGGTGAACTACATAGCATTATCTACTGAACTTGGAGTGAGTTTCTAAGTGAACTACATAGCATTATCTACTAGACTTGGAGTGAGTTTCTAAGTGAACTATATAGCATTATCTACTAAACTTGGAGTGAGTTTCTAAGTGAACTACATAGCATTATCTACTGAACTTGGAGTGAATTTCTAAGTGAACTACATAGCATTATCTACTAAACTTGGAGTGAGTTTCTAAGTGAACTACATAGCATTATCTACTAAACTTGGAGTGTGTTTTTAAGTG